TGCTGACAACTGAGGGGCAGGCTTGCAGGGTATACCCTTTGGTTGTCTGATGATGCATGGAGGGGATGATAATCATGGCAATGAAATGATATACAATAGGATGAATGTAAAGCTAATGTTCTCCCATGTAAACTATCACATAATTCACAATAAAACTTTTTAAAAAATGAAATCCTAGACAATTTCAATCATTTCTCCATTTATCATGCTGTTTGTTGATCCAGTTGTGAAGATTGTTATTTTCTGTACATTGAGTTGTCATTCATACTGAAGGCTGTATTCTTTGATCCTCATGAGCAAGTACTTGAAGTCTTATTTGCTTTCAGCAAACAAGTTTGTGTTACCTGCATATTGCAGGTTGTTAATGAGTCTTCCTCCAGTCCTGATGCCATGTTCTTCTTGATATATTTCCAACTTCTTGGATTATTTGCTTAGCATACACACTGAATAAGTATGGTGAAAAGATGAAACCCTGGTACACACCTTTCCTGATTTTAAACCATGTAGTATCCCTTTGTTCTGTTCGAATAGCTACCTCTTAGTCTATGTACAGGTTCCTCATGAGAACAATTAAGTGTTCTGGAATTCCTGTTCTTCTCAATGGTATCCATAGTCTATGATCCACACAGTCAAATGTCTTTGCAAAGTTAATAAAGCACAAGTAATCACCTTTCTGGTATTCTCTCTCTTTTTTCGGCCTAGATCCATTTGGTGTCAGCAATGATATCCTTCATTCCATGATTTCTTCTGAATCTGGCTTGAATTTCTGGTAGATCTCTGTTTTTGTACTGATGCGACCATTTTTGTTTTGTTTTGTAACCATTTTTTAATTATCTTAGCAAAATTTACTTGCGTGTGATGTCAGTGATATTGTTCAATAATTTTCTACATTCTGTTTAGTCTCCTCTCTTTGAAATGGACACAAACATGACTTCTTCCTGTCCATTGGCCAGGTAGCTGTTTTCCAAATTTCTGACCATACACTAGTGAGTGCTTTCAATGCCGCATCCGTTTGTTGAAACATTTCTATTGGTATTCCTTCAATTCCTGGAGCCTGGTTTTACACCAACACCTTCAGGGCAGCTTGGACTTCTTCCTTCAATACATTTGGTTCTTGATCATATTCTGCCTCCTGAAATGGTTTGGCATCCACCAAATCTTTTTGGTACAGTGATTCTGTGTATATCTTCCACCTTCTTTTGATGCTTCCTGCATCATTCAACCTTCTGCTCATAGAATCCTTCAATATTGAAAGTCGAGGCTTCAATTTTCTTGTCAATTCTTTAAGCCTGAGAAACGTCAAGCATTTCTAATTCCAGCTCAATTCTTTAAGCTTGAGATATGTTGGCTTTCTAACTCCAGGTCTTTGAACATTTCCTTGTAATACTTCACTTTGTCTTCCTGAGCTTCCCTTTGAAATTTCCTGTTCAGCTCATCTCACTTCATCATTGCTTCCATTTGCTCAATGTTAAAGAGCAAGTTTTCAAAGTCTCTTCTGACATCTACTTTGTTCTTTTTATCTTTCCTGTTTTTTTAATGCCTTTTTGCTTTCTTCATGTGTGCTGTTCTTGATGTCATTCCACACTCATCTGGTCTTTGGTCATTAGTGTCTAATACATCAACTCTGTTCTGAGATGGTCTCTAAAGTTAGGTGAGATATACTCAGGGTTTTATTTTTCCTCAACTTCAGCCTGAACTTGCATATGAGTAATTGATGGTCTGTTCCACAGTCAGTCCTTGGCCTTGTTTTGGCTGATGATACTGAACTTCTTTACTTCATCGTCTCATCCCATAGATGTGTATTCCATCTGGTGAGGATCATGCATATAGTTGCAGTTTATGTTGTTGAAAAAGGGTATCTGCAATGAATAAGTCATTGATCCTAAAAAATTCTATCATGCCATCTCCAGTGTCATTTGTATCACCAAGGCTATATTTTCCAACTACTGATCCCTCCTTTTGTTTCTAACTTTCACATTCCATGCACATGAGGTGATTGAAAATATCATGATTTGTGTCAGGCACACACCTCAGCCCTCAAAGTGACACTTTTGATTCCTAACACTTTAGTCTCCCATAGTTCTGGCTGGAGAAAAGTTCCCAGAGGTACCAGTAACTGCCCAGCAGATAATGAATCAGCAGTACTAGTTGAACAATTGTTTGGAAATGATGAGAGAAAAGGGAACTTTATCTTCTGGTCCTCAAAGGGGGAAATGAATAGGCCCAAGCACTCAAAGCCACAGGGATGTAACTTTTCAACCTGGTTGCCAACTCTATAACCAGCCTCTAGGGCTCACCTGTTTGTTTGTTTGTTTGTTTGTTTGTTTGTTTGTTTGTTTGTTTTCCCAGAGGGTCAAGTGCTAAATGTTCTTCAACTTTAAACATAGGGGAAAGTGTTTTTTCCTGCTCTTATCTCTGGGGGCATTTTGTTGCTGGTGATCTCCAGATGCTGAAATAGGCCAATGTTGGGGACCAGCAAGCTGGAAGTAGAAGTCCCCACCTTCCTGGCCTCACCTTGCCCTGCTGTATACACTCCAACATGTCTCTGAGCAACTCTCACTTGGAAAATGAGGGAAAACATCTACTCCTTATTGGAGGACAAAGGGGCATGATTCCTGGATTCAGTTAAAATAGCCTAGGGGGCCTATGTCATCTGCTTTAGAGAAAGGGCTTTGAATGAAGTAACATGCATAAAAGGAAGAGCAAGCCTTTGGGGATCTGCGACCTGGACTGAGGTAGCTCATGCAAGCCAGCCTCTCTGAGCCTCAGTCTCTTCTGTAAACTAGGCTGATAGTAATCCCTTCTTTACTGGATAATCATGATGATCTAATGTCAGAATTGCGAGTATGAAGAGTAGAAAGAAGAGGTGACTTCAATGATTGAATCCATAGAGCACCTTTCAAAGTGCTACACCCTGAGTTCCAACAATGCAGAAGAAGCTCAAAATGTCAAAAACTTCCAACTCTAAGATTCCCTAGTGGTGTCCTTGTGGTTCCCGGAATGTCTGAGTCCTGATTTGCATCTCTGTGGCAGGTCTAAGGAACAGGTTTCTTAAATGTTCCTTTGCCCTACTAAGAAGTAAGGAGCTCTGGTAGCGTAGTGGTTATGAATCGGGCTGCTAACCTCAGGGCCAGAAGTTCAAAACTACCAGCAGTTTCAGGGGAGAAAGATGAGGCTCTCTGCTCCCGTAAAGATTTACAGCCTTGGAAACGCTGTACAGGGTCGCTATGAGTCAGAACCGACTCCACAATGAGTCAGAACCGACTCCACAGCACATAACAACTAAGAAGAAGCACTTCTACACAAGTCGACAGCACACAAGTCAACAGCTAATCAGTTCAAATCGGCAGTTCAAACCTACTCCATGGAAGAAAACTGTAGCAATCTGATTCTGTAAAGATTACAGTCTTGGAAACCCTATGAGATGGTTCAACCCTGTCTTTAGGGTGACTATGAATTGGAATCCACTCAATGGCAATGGCTATGTCTATCTATACAGTGCCCTCTGCTGGTTAGTATCAGCATTGCACCCAGTTGCCCCAGGCAGGACCAGGAGATGCAATAGTGGGAAGGAACTTGTATGTGAAATGGAAATCTAGGACTGGGCTGTGTTCAGAAACCCCAGAATCTCTTGGATGCTCTTGTCTCCTTTTTCCCAACACACACATTCTCTGTGGTGGGCTGGAGTCATACAGGCAGGAAGAAAGGGAGGAAGAGAAGAGAAAGGGTCCCCTCTCAAGGCACAATCATCCTTGCCATCTTCCTCCTGGGGGGCAATCCATTATTACTCCTTTCTTCCTGCCCACCCCCGTTAGGGAGTGCTGCAGCTCTAGATGATAAGCACTGAACTTCGAACCACAACTAGCCCACTAGCTGCTCCACGGGGGAAAGATGAAGCTGTCTGCTCCCGCAAAGATTTACAACCTCGAAAACCCTATATAAGGCCAATGTGAGTCAGAGCTGACTCGGTAAAACTTAACAACAACCTGCCCCCTACCCCTTAAAAAAGAGACATTGTTTGGTGGTCCTCTCAAGCTGAAAGCCTAGGTGCCTAAGACTCACTGGGCTGGTGGCAGTGGGGAGGGGAAGGTGACAAGCCCAGGGGACATGACCCCAGAAGAGGGGCTGGAACAGGATGAGTAGGAGGAGGTTGTACATTACCCATCAGCACGGGCCCTTCTGTGGCCCCATACATAAATGTATAGGGAAAACAGCCGGGGAAGGGGGCAGGGAGAGAAGGACCAGCGTATAAAAAGGACCCACGAGGGGCCAATTCTAAGATCCTAGGACCTACCTCCCCAAACAGCTCACCCAGCTGCAATGGCTACAGGTAAGAACGCTGAAACCCCCCTGGGCTTGAGGTATACTGAGGGGAGATGGTGGCTCCTGCTGATGGGATGATGAGGGAGCTGTCTCCGGGTTAGGGCTCTGGATGTGAGCAGACCACGTTTTTAATCTTCTCCATCTCTCGGGGAAAGAGTTGGAAAGGGGAACACCCAGGGTCAGGGGGGTCCCTCTTGCTCGCCAGTGCCACCTGGTCCTCATGTTGCTTCCCAGGCTCCTGGACCTCCATGCTCCTGGCCTTTGCCCTGCTCTGCCAGCCCTGGCCTCCGGAGACGGATGCTTTCCCTACCATACCCTTGTCCAGTCTGTTTGCCAACGCCGTGCTCCGGGCCCAGCACCTGCACCAACTGGCCACCGAAACATTCAAGGAGTTTGTAAGCCCCCGAGATGGAGCACCGGGTGTGGGGTGGACAGGAAGGGTTGCGTCTTCCTCCCTACACCCCCTCTTGCACTGAGGTGGAGATGTGGTCAGAGGGGCACAATCCAAGGAGGACTCAGCACGCAGTGATGAGCTGGGACCTGGGTGTGGTCTCTTCCCCCAGGAACGTGCCTACATCCCTGAGGGTCAGAGGTACCTGATGCAGAATGCTCAGCTCGCCTTCTGCTTCTCAGAGGCCATCCCGGCCCCCACAGGCAAGGATGAGGCTCAGCAGAAATCCGTGAGTGGATCTCGTCTTCCTGAGAAGTCTCTCCCTCCTCCCTAATGTCTCCGCCTGGCCCGAGGCCCACACTGACGCATCCCCCATCGGCCTTCTGCCTGCAGGACATGGATCTGCTTCGCTTCTCACTGCTGCTCATCCAGTCCTGGCTTGGGCCAGTCCAGTTCCTCAGCAGGGTCTTCACCAACAGCCTGGTGTTTGGCACCTCGGACCGCGCCTATGAGAAGCTGAAAGACCTGGAGGAAGGCATCCAGGCCCTGATGCGGGTGAGGGGAATGTCAGGCGGAGGGCATCGTACTGGTCTCCTAGCAGTCTGGCCTTGACCCAGCAAATTCACCCATCTCCCCTATCTTCTAAGCTCTGAAGAAGGGGAGGACTGGGTAGGAAGGGGAAGGCCAGCCCCCCACAGCCTCTCTACTCCTTTCCCTTGTCAGGAGCTGGAAGATGGCAGCCCCCGCACTGGGCAGATCCTCAAGCAAACCTATGAAAAGTTTGACACAAACTTACGCAGTGATGACGCACTGCTCAAGAATTATGGGCTACTGTCCTGCTTCAAGAAGGACCTGCACAAGACAGAGACATACCTGAGGCTCATGAAGTGTCGCCGCTTTGTGGAAAACAGCTGTGCCTTCTAGTGGCTGGGCTTCTGTTTCCCCTCCCAGGACCTCCCTGTAGCCCAGAGTATGTCCCTCCGTGTTCCCACCACGCTTCTCCTAATAAAACAAAGTTGCATAATATTGTCTGAGCAGGTGTCAATTTGTAATGGGGTCGGTGGACAAAGATCAGGTTGGGAAGGCATCAGAAAGTGTCTTGGGAACCAGAGTAACTGAAATCTAACTGACCCAGAGGAAGCTGACCAGGTCACTCCTCTCTACCTTACTGGGGAGTCATTGGTCAGGGCCACCGCCACAAAGTATTTGAAGACCTTTCTCTCTCCCCCCACCAGCACCGACACTGTCAAACGTAGGCATCTCCAAGAAGGGGAAGAAATGAAAATAAAGAAATGAAAGCAAAATGCCCCAAACTGGGCCTGTAAACTATGGAGAAAACAATGAGCCCAATCATAGACTGACATGGGCAGAAAATGTAAGTTTTAATGCACATGAGACCCCGTGACTCTTGAGAAATGGGGAAACCAGTTTCATGAAGTCCTTTCTAACTCATGGTGTCCCATGTGGGTCAGATGAGAACTGTGCTCCTTAAAGGTTTCAATAGCTGGTTTTACAAAAGGCACTTCTGGGTGGATGTGAACCTCCAATCTTTCAGTTAGCAGCCAAGTACATTAACCCTTCCGAAATGCTTAACCCATTGCAGCAGCCAAGAAACTGTAGTTTAAATAAATGAGACAATAAGATAGTAATTTAAGAAAATGAAATTGTAGCTACTTTTACTTTGAATTTCGAGGGTTTCATATTTTCTGATGAAGTCTACAGACATTTATTTATAAACTGTATTTGTCTAATGCATCTCAGATGTTTATTTTGAATATCCAAATGCCCTTCCGAGGTTAATGCTTCAGTTAAGTGTTTAGTCTCCTAAGTCCTTTGATGAAGTGGCTGTTGTGTGACCTCCAGCTGATTCCAACTCATAACATTCACATGTGATAAAGCAGTATTGTTCCATCAGGTTCCCAGGTGTAATCTTCACATTTCAGAAGAGAAGTGATACGCCCTGGGAGTTACAAGGTCTGGGCTTCTGCACCGAGCAAACCGCGTGCTTTGCCTAGCAGCTTTAATTCAGAAGGATTCCAGCACAGCTCAAGAAATACCTGGAAATTAGTACTAGGTATGCCTGAGATTTCCCCAGTATGAGCGCTGGAAACCCGTCAGCCTAATGCCACCTTAGACAACTGGTCCCCTTACCGCTTTCCATTCGGAACCACAGCATCCTGTGTTTTCTTGGCTATCATCTTTATAGAAACAAATGACAAGGTCTTCCTCCTGCAGAGGCACTGGGTAGGTTTTAACAGTCAAACCTTCAATTAACAGTCAAGTGCTTACCTATGGCACCACCAGGGCTCCCTGGTTGCCTGCTGGGTTTGCAGTTGTTCAGTGCCTTCAAGTAACAGAACCAAACATGGCCCAGTCCTGCACCATCCTTACAATTGTTCTGTGTGAGCCCATTGCTGCTGCCACTGTGACAATCCATCTCATTGGGAGCCTTCTCTTCCTCACTAGCCCTCTACTTCACCAAGCATGAAGTCCTTTTCCAGGGACTGGTCGCTCCTAGTAACACATCAAAAGTCCGTTAGACATTTTTTGTAGTAGCCAATCATGCAGACATTTTTGTTTTGGGTTTTTCCTGATGATCTTTCTTTGAAGATGTGTCTTCTGTCACTGTAGCTGTTCCAGTCTGCTTGTTCTGTCTAGTGGGAATGTCCCACCTCATAAGATTCTGGATGGGACTCAGGATTCCACCTAAGGTCCTATACTCTGTAAAGGCTTTGCACAAGGCCTATTTCACTGGGCAAGTTGTAGGACCCCTTTTAGGTATTACAATCAGTTATAGGCTGAAGGCGGGCTTAAAAGTTTTCTCTAATCATGTTTCCCAACATTCCTTTCGATACCACTCAAGTGTCAATTTTACAATAGTAGGCAAGGGAAACTAATATTCATAAGGCAGTCAAGGATTTTAGTATTATTTACCCTTTTCAAGCTATACCTAGATCCCTGTACCCAGAGCCCTGTTTTCCCAAGGTTGAGTATGCACCTCTGTCCCACTAGGCCATGCAAACCTGTCTCAGTGTTCCCCTATCTAT